ATAATTATAATATAGTTATAATTTTTAATTATATTATAACTAAAATATTATTGTTTATTATATAATCTTATAATATAATATAAAATATTATAATTACATTAATAATTTTAATAATATTATTATATTCTATATCATAATTATATAATAATAATTTTATTATATTATATTACATTTTATATATTATATTAATTATATTGATATATAAAATATTAATGTTATATATAATATAAGGGTAATTTTGTCAATATAAAAATATTTATGTTCCATTTTATAGTATTTTTAAAATTATAATTAAATAAATGAATTAATTTTTTTTTTTCATTATATTATCATTACTATTCTCATTATCATTACTATTATCATTCTCCCACTACAACCAAACGCATCCTAAGACCTTATTCGCTTTGCAGATTCGAGTTTTCAATTCAAGTTGAGATGTGATATTTTTTTAAAACTTGTAGCAAAAAAAATTAGATGTCATATTTTCTAAGAGCTTTTAACTGTATAAACTTAAAACTAAAAATTTAAATCTGAGCTACGTCTAAATTGTCTTCATTTTCCTCTCTATTTCAGTAGTTCTCATTGCTCTGAACCTAGATTATATATCTAGCTACATCTCTTTCCTCTTTATTTTTACTGCAGTCAAACAAAGCCTAAGATTAAAATGAGGAAATGAAACATAGAGCACAGTGTGGCTGACTGGCTTGTGAGTTGTGTGTCTGAGTATTGAGCTGCTGCTAGGTTTGCTAGCTAGCTAGGGCAGTGTACAGTGCCACTGTAATAGTAGGCATGAAACGAAGCCAAACACGTCGTAGCAAATGAAGGTTGTAATATATTTTTAATGGCACTTTTTCTAATCAATCCACCCAAAACCCCAAGTCAGTCTTCCACGTGCTCCTGGGAACTCTCCCCCCACAGCACCCACCCTCTTTCTCTCTCCTCCCTCCTCCTCACTTCAATGCCATTTGCCACTCTCTCTCTCTCTATTTTTTTTTTCTTTTTCATATTTTTCCATTCTTCACTCAATTACACCCTCTGACCATCTGCTTCCCTCTCTTTGTTTGCTTCTGAATACCCACACACACTCTCTCTCTCTCTCTCTCTCTCATCAAAACCTCTCAAAGAAACTTTTTCTATGATTATGCCAGAAAAAACTTCACCAACCCAAAGGTAAAGACCTCATCTTTCTTCATCTTCTTCTTTCGTTAATCGGTGCTAAGTTATTATATTTACAAAGAGAGAAGGAAAAGATGGTGGTGGAAGGAATGAAATGCGGCGGCGTCAATGGCGGGCAAGTGGTGGTGGACGACGACATGGGAGACGGCATGCAGTGCAGTGACCATCCGTACAGGAACAACCCAGGCGGGATCTGCGCCTTCTGCCTCCAGGAGAAGCTCGGCAAGCTCGTCTCCTCCTCTTTTCCTCTTCCCCATTCGCGCCTCCTCCTCCGCCGCCTCCTCCACTTCCTCTCCCAACTCCTTCAGATCTGACTGCCTAAACAGCAAAAACGACGCCGTTCTCAACGACTGTCGTTTCTACAATGCCGACGAGTACTACGCCACAACAAACGCCAGAGCTGCTCGCCCGAGAAATGGAAGTATTACTAATAATGGTAATGGGAGTAATAACAATAATATTTCGTTTCTTTTGAATGTCGTTTTGGCGAAGAAGAAGAAGAAAGTTGGTGTTGTAGCAGCGTCGTCGGGGTCGTCGTCATCGATGGCGGATCATGTCGTTTTGAAGCGGAGCAAGTCGACGACGACGCCTCGCCGTGGCAGAGGAGGGCGGTTTCTGGAAGCTTCTGATGATTTAAGCCCTAGGAAGAGAGGGGGCTTTTGGTCTTTTCTCTACCTCTCTTCTTCGTTTGCTTCCACTAAGAAGGGATTTGCGAATGGGGAGAGCTCTAAGACGGCGTCGTTTTCGTCCGTGACGTCAGCCGGTTTGGCTGTGAAGCCGAAAGAGAGGAGACCGGACCGGGAACGAGAGCGAGAGCGAGAAACCGCTTCCTCCGTCGTCGTTTTGGAGGAAAACGACAGCCCGAACAGCCAAGCGACAGCCTCGGCGTCGTCGTTCGAGAGGAAGGTGTCGAGATCCAGATCCGTCGGCTGCGGCAGCCGGAGCTTCTCCGGCGACTTCTTCGAGAGGATCTCCACCGGCTTCGGCGACTGCACGCTCCGGCGCGTGGAGTCCCAAAGAGAAGGTAACGGCGCCGGGAAACCCAAATCCTCCGCCACGTCATCGCACCACGGCGGCGGTGAGCACCACTGCATGAAGGAGCGCGTGAAGTGCGGCGGAATCTTTGGCGGCTTCATCCTCACCTCCTCGTCGTCCTCCTCCTCATCCTCCTCCTACTGGGTCTCCTCCGCCGACGACGTTAATGGGCCGAAGCATGTCGCTGGTGGGCCGGGCCCACTTGCTCATGGCCGGATTCGGAGCTGGGGATGGGCCTTCGCTAGCCCGATGAGAGCCTTCGGTAAGCCCAGTGGGTCCAACGGGAAAAGAGACATAATCCGACAAGCTTCCGATAAGAACTCAAGTGCTTCCGCGACAACTACGACAACTCCGAACTTGGCTGCAATTCCTTCCTTGCTTGCTGTGAGAGGCTAGTAGACGTACTATTACAAGCTTTAATAATATTAATAATCATAATAATGATAAATATTATTGTTCTTGTTTGTTACACCATTCAAAGGTTTATATTTATTGTTTCTTTTTTTTTTTTTTAGCTGTTTATTATGAATGCCCATGTCGATCAATCGGATTTTAGTCTTTTATGATGCTATATTTTATTTTAGTGTAATGTAACAACAATATTTTGGTCTTGAAACAAAAACTGGTTTGTTATTAGTGATTTGGGGTTCTGTTTCCGAATTATATTTTGTCATCATGATCAGAAAGATTCAGATTCAGAACCCAGATAATATATGTAGGTACTTGTTACGTAGTGAACCGTCTGATCATATATGTTGATGATGGTTGTGTGTTTATGGGGTTAAGGAGTTTGTATTTTTTTTTCTATTCCTTATTAATTTGTGTAATTTCTGCACTCTGATGATCATGTTTATATTGCCAAGAGATTAATTAGAACAATATGTTAGAATGACTATCCAACAAAGTAAAATTAACAAAATAATTTTTTTTTATTTTTTATGAAGAAAGACATTTAGTCATTCTTTATAAAAAGAGATTATTTTACAAATAAAATTTTTTAAAAAGTTATTTTACTAATAAAACTTTTCAAAGAGTTATACCTAAGCTTGTGTGTGTGTATATATATATACATTTTGGCTATAATGATGTATAGTTTTAGCTTTGTTTTTCCAGTTTGAATTGAATAATAATATGGTTTGTGTTGTGTGTTATGTTTTGGATTGGTGTCTCTGAACTTATTGATCTGTTAGCTTGACTGAGGCACATGCACACACATGTTTGGTTGGTACTAGACAAAACTGTGGACAAAGATGGTCCTGTGAGTAATACGACGGAACTTTCACTTTATAGGTGGTGATTAATTCCATTCCTGTAGGGCTTTCAAAATAAGAGGTACTATGTGTAATTTACAATAAATATCAACTTTTACTGGCTGAATCATGATTTAAAATTATTTTTGATTTATACGTGTTTTTTATGAGAAAAAATACTATAACGAGTTACAAATCATAATTCGAATTATAACACGTATCTTTACTCTAAAAGCATTAATGTTGATCTATTTGTGTAATTTTTATGTGATTAGGTTGATAATTTTTGGATGAGATAGAGGTTAGAAAGAGAATAATAGCTAGTTAAATTAGATGGGATTTAAGAGGGTTAAATTTGCAAGATATCATATGGATGTGGGTCAGCAAGGAAAAAGATGGTGGAAATGGAGACCAAAAGTGGAAAAAATAGGGAATTCAATTACGATAGGGACACATCGAGAGCAGAAGCTGGGTTGGAAAAGAAGTACAAAATTGCAAACGACACAGGGAAAAAGCTGCTGCATGGGAGACTGTTGCTACATCATAAAAGATTAAATGCGTGGACCCTTCACCCTTTAGCTCTAGATTTTCCTTTTTGACATGTAGCCGCGAGGGTTATTTCCTTTTCTAGATAATTTTGAACTAGGAAGATAATAATTCCACAATATTGACCTTAATCATATACTTTCCTTAATCATAATATTGTAGCTCATGAAATGCTCACATGTGGATTGTTTGATTTGATTTGATTTAAAACCTATCGGTTATGATCGCTGGCTCTATGGAACTCTACCGTGAGCATGCCCGTATATAATTTCACCTTTCTAATAATGGTTTTGAAAGATATTTTCATTAATTATGATTCTTTATACGATTCTATGGCAATCTAAAATTTTAAAATTGATCGATAAAGTATTTATAACACATGTTATAGAGTTCTCAAAACAGTGTCAACAATAGATGCCTTAATTCTACGTAACTGTGAGTAATAAAACGTAGAAAAAATAAAGCAAGCAAAGTCGACACATACAGAATACATACAAAATTTATAGAGGAGGGTCCGTTTAGTTCGCTGATTCGAGTTTTTAATTTGAGTTGAAATGTGATTTTATGTGAGAGTTTTATACTGTAGTAAAAAAAAATTAGATGTGATTGTTTGTGAGAGCTTTTTACTGTAGTAAAATTCAAATTCTAAACTCGAATCAACGAAATGAACGGTTTCTTTTAGTTGTTGCAGTTTTTTTTTTTCACTGTGATTAAGCAAAAGTTGAAAGGAAAAAGTTGCACAACTCTCAACTCTTTGTGTGTTTTTTTTAACCTCTGATAATTCTAAATCGTCGGGACAATTAATTGGGCTCTACAATTTATAAAAGAGTATACTTTTTTTTTTTTTGGGTTAGATTTTTCTCGGTGACCTAGTGGAAGCCAATAATCTAATAGTTTTCACTTTCACTTTCATTTTAGAGTTCTAACATTTCTTTTAGCTCACCGAACAAGGATTGGACCATCTTAAATATTTAAATTCTTGCCTTCGTGATAATATCTAGAGAAAATTGGTAAATGTTCCCTTATCTTAAAATTATGCCCCTCATAAGTTCACATATCTATACATACATACTAAAAAAAAATCAAAGAGTTAGCTTCTAAGAAAGTCATGTGTAAAAAAATTAAAAAGTTAGCTTCAAAAAAAGTCATGTGTTGGTCTCTATGGATACCACTTAACCTCTACATTTTTATTTTTTTAATTTTTTAAATCTCTATTTTTTTCATTTTTAGACATTTTTTTTTTTTATATTTTTCATCGCTCTTTTCTTCCTACCTACTGCCTTTTTTTTATTTTTTTTCCCACTGTTGTCTACCTATTGCTTTTAGCAGTAAATTTTTTTTTTTCCATTACTAAGTGTAAATGAGTTTTTCAATAAGGACGGACGAAAGATAGAATGAAACATACATAACATTTCGTTTGTCTATTTATAAAAAAGATTTTATATTTATAATTATAACTTATTAAAACACTTTTACCTTATTTAATAAGTCCATTTTGATTCTTTTGCTTTTTTGTTCATTTTATATCTTGTGTTTTCTAATTGTGCCTTATTAAATTTTACCCATTAATATGCTCTCTTTTAAATAAATTTAAATATGTGCTTGTTTAAATATTTTTCTTTGTTGTTAATATTTCTTCTTTTTAAAATATACTCAATTTAAAGTGAGTAAACAAAATTTCATACTCAATCTCATAGATACATATAAAATTCTGTTAAAATCCATATTCCATAAAAATTGTATGTATAATAGCACTCTTATTTTTTTCGAATACTAATGATAATTGAACCCGTAATTTTGAGGTGAAAAGGTGGACATGCAACTATTCATTACATTATTAATACTTGGCTGGATACGGCAAATTCTCATTGTTCTGAACAGATCATGAATTTGGTCGAAGTACTTTTAGGTCCCCTTTATTTCGTTAATTCGAGTTTAGAATTTAAATTTTGTTACTGTAAAAAGTTCTCACAAATAATTATATTTAACTTTTTTACTACAGTAAAAAGTTTTCACATAAAATTACATCTCAATTCAAATTAAAAACTCAAATCAGTAAAAAGCTCTCACATTTAATCTACTCCGGTTTTTTTTTTTCTTTTTCAAATGCTAGTACTTTTTAAACTATTTTTTTCACGACCAAGTTACTTCACTTAAGAGTTGTCAATATTTTTTTAGTTTGTGTTTACAAATTTCGGAATCAATTTAGTATAAACAAGTTGTATACACCAATGTTGACACTTATGTCTCCCATGTTTTGGCAATAAAAATTTGGCAAGGAATTTATATACCTAGCATTATTTTTATTATTTTTATTGTGATTCCTCAACCTTACTACTGTCAATGTGTCTTTTCCAATGCCATACCACATTATAATTACAAAATTAGTAACTTTCAATAATAAAGTATGTAAATATGGTATGAATTGGTCGAATACATATTTGTGCGGTGGGGGCATATATATCCCACAAGGTCATCCATTACAATCATTAGATCTCATTTAGTTCGTTGATTCGAGTTTTTAATTCGAGTTGAGATATGATGTTATGTGAGAGTCTTTTACTGTAATAAAAAAATTAAATGTGATTATTTTTAAAAACTTTTTACGTAACAAAATTTAAATTTTAAACTTAAATCAGTAAAATAAATACAGCCAAACAACACATAATATAGGATTAGAAAATGCATAAGATTTATTGGACAACATCGGTACACCTGCTCCATAAACTCTATTCAGCTTAAATCGTATAATTGCAGTTAATGACCCCATGAGTGACGTGCCTCACAATAGAATGCAGACATGATTGTTTGGAACTTTTTTTTTCCTTGAAAATTTACTTTTATGTATGTTCATTTGGAAGAACATTTATGGTGGGGCACCTCAATCATAGACATTCATTCATGAAAAGATTAAAAATACAAATACTAGTTGACAGTAAAAATTTGTCTAACAGAAATATAAGAAATTTTAAATCGGTTTGCACGAATTTAATAATTTTAAACACGATTAAAATAATTAAATAATAAAAACACACGAGAATTATAGTGACCCTTAATTCAAGAGCTACGTCAAGAGAGAATCCACTAATTTTCAGAAGAATTACACTCTAATTACTCTCAATGAGACTCCCCTTTTTTTCAACCTATAATCCCTTATTTATATTGTTGACCATTGTCCTAACTGTCTTCCCTATTTAATTCAGGGATAATTCCCTCATCTTTTAGGATAATTTTCTAAAAGATGGAGGTTACAATCAATCAGGACGATTTTATTGCTTAAATTTGGTATATTTGAATTACAAATAGTAAATTATGGAGTAAATCTCGCATCTCTCGACTCGCGTAGGCTCGACTTCATAAGAGCTCTCAGAACCATCTTGACCTCATGTTGTCCTTTGCCTCTCCTCAAAGTGGTGGACCTCCTTTCACCCTTAACTTGCAGTTTACTCCTAAGAGGGTTGTCGTCCGACGTGGCGGCCAGAGCTGAGCTGTCATCGATCATTTAACGCCCTTATTTAGGGTTCAGAATTTTACCCAACAACACCACTCAAGATAATAAAAAGTATTATTTATACCTTTTCACTGAAAAATAAACCATTGTCATTCAATTAATAAATAAAAAATAAAAAATCACAACACCATTTAATCATTTAAAATGACATGAATTATAGCTCTCCACAAAATCATTGCCAGCCATGTATTTTCTCTCTATAAGCCGTTTATCGCTTGATTTAAATTATGGGCCACATAAATAGGGTCCCCTTACTAAAGAAGTCCCCTTTGATTTTATGAAATGAAGGTTTTGACTTGTATATACTTGTTCAAA